ATCACAAACTAGAGAACATCCAGGTCCAAACACAAGGGATAGGTATTAAGGTTAGATTCAAATTCATTGATCAAATTACAATATTGACATATATTTTGTCTAAATCATTAAATTATTGCCTAAGGTCTATAAATTTTTATTAAGAAATTCTTATTACTGAAAATCTAAACTTTTCAAAAGTTTAATTAGATAAGACATCATTATAATAAAGATTTTGTCAAACTTTTATTATAATCTTAGTCAATTCAAACATAAAATATATCACATTTTAAAAAGATTGATAATCTTAATTATAATCTCTTTATTTGGTTTTGTTTTTTCGAAAATAATTTTTTCAGTTTTCAATATATATATATATATATTTTTTTAGTAATTTTTTTCTAATATGTTAATCATTTTTTTTCAAATCCACTTTAATATAGATAAACTTAAAAAGTAAAATATTTATAAAAATATTAACAAATAAAAAAATATGAAAATGTACTGAATTTTTATATTTTTTTATATTTAATGAATTTTTTTAAAAATTTGAGAATGATTTTTTTAGTTGTATAAAAAATCGTGAGTGAACGTTTGACCTTTTTTAGTGATTTTTTTGTCTTTATAATCTTTTTTTGACTTATTTTAGTTAAAAATTAAGGTCTCGCTTGGGAACAAGCTTTTTAAATAATTTTTTGATTTTTTTACTAAAATATGATGTAAAAAAAACTAGTATGTTTGGAATGAATTTTTAATTTTTTACGAAAAAATGTGCAAAAAGTGAAGAGAAAAGGAAATTTTTGACTTTTTGATATAGATTGTTGGCTTTTTGTTTTTTTTCTTTTTTTTTTTTAATTTTTTGACTAAAATCACTACTTGCCAAACGAGGCCTTAAAATTACCAAATGATACCTTAGTTATGGATCGTTTACCAATTTTGATAAAAAGCACCCCATGGAATTAATAATTTAATAAGATGTTGGGGTGTGGTCTAATAGTATAGTAACCATATCTTAGGGTGTGGTGAGTGAGAAATCAAGGGCTTGAACTGATAGAGCAGCGGCAAACTTTTCAGTTGTAATCTAATTATACTAACTATACTAATGCTATCTTTGACAATGAATAATAATAATAATAATTTATTAATAAAATATATAATTTTTATTTTATATTATTTAATTAAGAAAATTAACGGTTGTTTTGGTAATCGACTATTTTAGTTATTATTCATTTTCATTTTTTTTTTGTCTTTTTATAAAAAGACATGATAAAAAATAGACATAAAAGTTGACTTTTTCTATAGTGATTTTTTTTTATTATTTTAGCCAATTGCTAAAACAAACCTAATATTCAAAATAGTAATTTATACGGTAGAAAACTCTATTCTCTCTCTAAAGAACATTAGTTGTTCTTTATTTTTCTACTCTTTAGAGGGGAGATGGTGCTTTCTTTCCCCTCTATTTCTTCTCCTATGGTTTCTATCACCATGTTTAGTCACTATCGCTTCTCTTGTCTCCATCATCGGCTTGCCATCGAGGAAACTTTCAAATCTAGACTCAAATTCAATTCATAACCACACTGCTAAACATTTTGTTATATGCTTGGCGACCACTTTAGATACACAATATATATATATATATACATATTTGTAACGTAGAGGCGATGATTAAGGTATCAAAGCTATTTGTTGCGACGACGAACGGATCATGAAGGTGATTAGTATTGTTTGTTTAGTGGTATTCGTTTTATTTTTTTGTGTTTTATTTTATTTTATTTTATTTTTGTAATAATATCTCTCTATGTAGAGATTTTGTCACGACCCAAACCTACCCCTAAAAGTTTAGACATAACCGGCCTGTGTTTAAGTCTCAAAACAAAATAGTCAATAAATATTTATACAAAATCAGGGCCCAAAACGGAAGCAATTATAATGACAAAGAGAAAACTTCCATTGAGCGATGTCTAGATGCCAGGATCTGAGTACACATATCATATACATCCAAATTTATATATATATTGTTCATAAAACAACAAAACCACGACATGCCATACGAAATAAAAGGGCAATGATCCATAATTTACATATTAGTATATGTATCTATGTTCGTAGCAAAAAAATGAATATCCAAAAGAAACCCCAAAATAGAACAAAAGCGTTTAACTTGGGAGGTTTGACAGACTGGACTATCAAAAGACTCCTGGAACTACCTTAGGACTGACCTCTGGGCTGATCACCTACAAAACATGCAAGAATACGAAATGAGTTAAGTTCAGTAAATAATAATAATGTACTAAAGCATGTAAACGAGCGTGTGCCTTGCATAATGTAAAGCGTGTACGTAACTCATGTATGTCCTTTTTGACTAACAGAACGGCCTCATGCCCAAATATAGTAGAACGGCCTCGGGCCCAATAATAACAGAACGGTGTCGAGCCCAATAATAACAAAACGGCCTCGGACCCAATAATAACACCATAAATAAATCCCATCTCATATCTACATTCTATATTCCATTTCGTTTAACTCGATCATTCAAATAACATAACGTTAGAAAACCATGCATTAACGTATCAAAAGAAACATAAGTGTTTTACACTACTATTACTCACAGTGATCCGATCGTGCAGTGGTCCCTTCTGGTGAGCAATCTACACATCCCACACAAAAATTGATAAGTAATGCATCTCTTTTCTTAGTTTCTTACCTTTTATCTTTATTTCTTGTTGTTCACTACCTTTTTATTTTTTTATAGGTGTTTCGAAGGCATAAAATATACAGATTAGCGGGTTTAGAAGGTCAAAAGGGGCATCAAAAGATAGAAGAAATTTTCTCTCATTCCCGCACGTGCGGAGGGTGTGCCGCACGTGTGGCCCGTACGTGCTTTTATTTCAGAAAGCTAACTTCTACCTTCCCTATTTTCCGCACGTGCGTCAGTGAGCCCCGCACGTGCGGCTATGTTCCCGCACGTGTAGCCATGAGCCTCGCACGTGGGGTTCTGGCTCAGTTTTGAGCAGTCCGAAAGTCATCAAAAATCCAACTTTTCAAAGGCATCTTAAGGCTCAATTACAAGCAAAATGCCTTTCAATAACACAACATAGGAACATAATAAACATGATTCTCAAACTTAAATAGATCATAACTCCTTTTTAGTGAAACAAGTATAATTCAAATAATCATATTTCTTCCAATCCTTCATCTTCTCATGGTTAAGCAAATAGATACAAAAACATATATATATATATATATATATAGGAGTTCAAACATGCAAGGATTAAAGATTAGAAGATAAGTCCTTTAAAGCTAATTCAAGACACCCTTAAGATACAAGAATCAATTCTCAATTAGATCAAAAAATGAATCTTGATAATTTTGAGAGATACTTTCCCAAATAAGTGATTATTTCCATAACCCTAAGCTAGATGAGTGGAAAACTTCATTTCACAAAGCTAGATGAGTGGAAAACTTCATTTCACAACTTGATGCTAAACAATTAGAGTGAGATTTAGAGTATTTTAGTTGATTTACACATACCTTACACCCTACTCTTTGAATCTCCTCAATCTTCAAGCCTTGGTTGATCTTCTATCTTTCTCTCTCTTTTCTCTTCTCTAGAGCTGTCCTAGGGGATATCTTTTTATTTTTATTTTTATTTTATGTCTTGGGTGACTAAGTCTCATAAGGCTCATATATGTTATTAAGCCTAAATAATTCCAATTAATTCGTTACGAATCAAATTTTTACGAAAATTTATATTATGTCCTAAAAATCACGATGATCATAACTGTAAAGTCAATTTCGGTTTATCGCGCCTCTAAGGCTTCCAATTTGTAGTCCAAATGTCTCAATTTCAACAAATTTTTCTCATAACTGACAGATATGATTTCATAACCATATAATTCACATAATTAAACACAATTTCACATGGAATTTCACATCGAGCATATAATTATACATAAAATTAAGAACTTAAAGCACATGAGAGGGTTGGGTTGTTACACTCTCCCCCCCTTAAATAAGTTTGGTCCCTCAAACTTGTTTTACCTCAAGTTGGAAATAGTTCCGAATACCGTTGTCTCATTTCTTACTCTCTCTCCCAAGTGGCTTCCTTCCCATAATGTTCTTGCCATTCAACTTTTACCATCGGAATTGTTTTGTTTCGTAACTGTTTTACTTGACACTCCAGAATCTAAATTGGTTTCTCCTCATAAATCAAGTTGTCGTCCAAAACAATTTGATAGTAATCTATAATGTGGGACGGATCTTGGAGGTAGCCCCGTAACATAGATACATGAAAAACATTATGTATTTGTCCCATACTCGGTGGTAGAGTAACACGATAAGCCACTGGACCCACTCTTTTCAGAATTTGAAACAAACCTACATATCGGGATGCTAATTTTCCCTTCTTACCAAATCTTGTTTGTCCTTTCATCAGGGTGACTTTAACAAAGACATAACCACCAATCTCAAACTCCAAATCTCTTTGTCGGTGATCCGCATAACTTTTTTGCCTGCTTTGGACAGTTTTCAATCTTTGCTAAATGGTTTGAATTTTCTCCATCGTCAATTTTACAAGTTCCGGCCCAAACAATGCTCTATCGCCGACTTCAGTCCAACACACTGGGGAGCGACATTTCTTTCCGTACAAAGCTTCATATGGTGTCATTCCTATGCTTGAGTGGAAACTATTATTATATGCAAACTCTGCCAACGGTAGGTACGTCTCTCAACTCCCTTGGAAGTCCAAGGCACACATCCGGAGCATATCTTCTAATGTTTGTATTGTTCTCTCTGATTGGCCATTAGTTTGTGGATGAAAAGCCGTACTAAATTTCAACTCTGTTCCCATAGCATTCTGTAAACTCTGCCAAAATCTAGATACAAATTTCGGATCTCTATCTAATACAATTAAAACTGGAACGCCATGTAGCCGTACAATCTCATTCATATACACAGTAGCAAGTCTATCAGCATTATATTGAGTTTTCACAGGCAGTAAATGAGCAGATTTCGTTAACCTATCAACAATAACCCATATCGAATTCATACCTCGAGGTGCTCGAGGCAAGCCAACAACAAAGTCCATAGTCAAATGTTCTCATTTCCACACCGGAATTGGGAGAGGTTGAAGTAGTCTCGCTAGTCTTTGATGCTCCGCTTTTACCTATTGACATTGCAAACATTTTGATACAAACTCTGCAATTTCCTTCTTCATACTTGGCCACCAAAAATTTTGCTTCAAATCTTGATACATTTTAGTGTTACCGGGATGTAGAGAAAATTTGGAATTATGCGCTTCCTCCATAATTCTTTTCTTGATTTCTGGGACATTCGGGACACACAGTCTATCTTTAAATTTCATCATCGACTTTTCAAACGTAAACCCGGGCTTTGGCCTTGTTTCTATCTCCTCACGAATGTACTTTAAAAGATCATCTTCCATTTGTTTTTGTTTAACCTCTTCAATAACTGCCGGCTGAGCTGCTATTGCTGCTAACACTGCACCTTGTTCACGTAACACAATTTCCATGTCCATTCTTTCCAACTCAAGGAGTAATTCTTTTTGTCTTGTGAGTAAACTAGCTAGATTCCCTCTAACTTTCATGCTAAGAGCATCTGCAACTGTATTAGCTTTACCGGGGTGATAATGGATCTGTAGGTCATAATCCTTGATAAATTCTAACCACCATCTTTGACGCATATTTAACTCTTTTTGGTAAAGAAGTATTTAAGGCTCTTATGATCGGTGTAGACTTCACACATAGCACCATACAGATAATGCCGCCATATTTTCAAAGTAAAGACCACTGCAGCTAGCTCTAAGTCGTGTGTAGGATAATTGTTTTGATGAGGCTTGAGTTGGCAAGAAGCATAGGCAATGACCCTTCCATTCTGCATGAGTACACAACTCAATCCCTTGTAAGAAGCATCACTATAGATCACAAATGCCTCGGTACCAGTTGGTAGGGTAAGAATTGGTGTTGTAGTTAATCTTGTTTTCAACTCTTGGAAAACAGATTCTCTTTGGTCAATCCACTCAAACGAAACCCCCTTTTGGGTCAATTGGGTAAGCAGTATTACAATCTTAGAAAAGTCTTGCACAAATCTCTGGTAGTACCCTGCTAAACCCAAGAAGCTACGCACCTCCGTCACATTCGTAGGACTTGGCCAGTTCACAATGGCTTCTACCTTATGTGGATCCACAAAAATATCCTCCTTATTAATTACATGTCCCAAGAACACCACCTCATGTAACCAAACTCACATTTCTTCAATTTCGCATATAATTTCTTATCTTTAAGGGTTTAAAGAATTACCCATAAATGATTCTCAGGAGCTTCAGTGCTTTTAGAATAGATGAGTATATCATCAATGAATACTACCACAAAGTCATCCAGATACAGTTTAAAAATACGATTCATTAAATCCATGAAGGTTGTCGGTGCATTAGTAACCCCAAACGACATAACTAGAAATTCATAATGCCGTATCGGGTTCGGAAAGTAGTCTTCTCAATATCTTCAGCTTTCATCTTTAACTGATGGTACCCGGACCGCAAATCTATTTTCAAGAAGATTTGTGCACCTTAAAGTTTATCGAATAGATCGTCGATCCTAGGCAAGGCATATTTGTTCTTCACAGTCACCTTATTGAGCTCCCTGTAGTCAACACATAGCCGAAGTGTTCCATCTTTCTTCTTAACAAAAAAAACCGGTGTGCCCCAAGGAGAAGTACTCGAACGAATGAATCCTTTATCAAGCAGGTCTTGCAGCTGTATCTTCAACTCTTTCATTTCCATCAGTGACATTCGCTAAGGCGGTTTTGAAATGGGTTGGGTTCCCAGTACTACATTAATCACAAATTCAATCTCACGGTCCACTAACTCTCCTAGCAACTGCTCTGGAAAAACATCCGAGAATTCATGTACCACTGGGATGTTATCATCACACACCTCTGTTGGTTGTCCATTTAAAATGCTACATAAATACCCCCGGCACCCCTTTTGTAATAGTTTACACGCTTTCATGGTGGAGATTAAGTACAGCGGTGGGATCACCCCTTGTCCCAGAATCATAAATTCAGATTGCCCCAGGGGTCGAAAGGTGACTTGTTTAGACATACACTCAACAGTCATATGATATCTACTTAGCCAATCTATCCCCAAAATTATATTAAAATAAGCCATGTCGAGTGGCAACAAATCAGCAGTTAACTGAACATCCCCAATAACGATCTCACAGGCAGGGTAAATGGATGTACACAACATAGAGCCCCCCAATGGTGAACAAACACATAACACATAATGTAACGATTCCTTAGGTCTATTCAATTTACTAGCAAAGGTTTACGACATAAAAGAATGGGTAGAACTCAAATCGAATAAGACATGAGCAAGGTGACCATCGATAGGAAATGTACCTGACACTACAGCCTCCGTATTCTGCATATCGCTAGGAATAAGAGCAAATACTCTCCCCTGCCTGGCATTGTCTTTGGTATTTATGGATTTTGCAGCAGTCTTTGTAGTTGGAGCTAGAGTTGAGCCAGCTGAACTTGTAGTAGGCCTATTCCCATTTTGCCAGTCCCTCTGAGGGTAATCTCGTGCTAAATGTCCCGTCTTTCCACACTTGAAGCAAGCCCCAGTTACCCGATAACAAGTCCCGTGGTGCATTTTCCCACAATCTGGGCAGGTTGGCACTAATTCACGAGTAGAGGCGGAAGTACTAGAAGTTCCCAAGTTCGGTTTCTTGTTCCGTGTTGCTGCTACTGATCCCCTCGATGCTTGTGTATTCTGTCTCTTTCCCCTCCACTTAGAAACCCAGTTTTGAGCAGCTATGTTACCTTCAGCCACTATTGCCCTTTCCAACACATCAACATAGGTAGGCAGTTTCAACACATTAATCTTATCCAGAATCGAGTACCGGAGTCCTCCTTCGAACTTTCTTGCTTTCTTGTAGTCCGTATCCACGATGTGTGGTGCGTAACGGGCCAACTTTGAAAATTGTGCTTCATACTCTGCCACCATCTTGTTTCCTTGTCTCAATGTCTCAAATTTTGTCACCTATCCTGCATGCACTGTGGGAAATACTTATCATAAAAGAGCTCCAAGAATCGAGCCCAAGTCAAACCTTGATGTTTATGTCAAGTGAGCATCTACTATCTCTGTGCCTCGTCCTCGAGGGTAAAAGTTGCAAGCTGTACTTTCTGTGTTTCTGTGCACGGAAAGACCTCAAATAACTTCTCTATACCCAATATCCACGGCTCAATTTTCATTGGTTCAATGCCCCCCCTTAAAAGACGATGGCTTTATCTTCTTAAACTTTTTTGTCAGTGCAATAGTTCGATCCTCAGCTTGATAGTCTTGCACCACTAGTGGTGTTATAGGCACTGGTGGCGGTGGTGGTTGCTATTGTTGTTGTTCTTGTTGCTGTCTCATAGTTTCTGCCATATCCGCAATCATTCTTTCCAACCGATAAAGCCATGCGAAGGTAGAGTCTTTCATATCGTCCATTCTCGTCCTCACTAGGATCTACATATCAAAATATTATAATACACACACAAAAAGAGACACAAGTGCATATAGCCATTAATTATGAGTCAGTAACGACATGGAAGAACATCATGCATGTAGCCTAAGTCTTTTCTAGACTCCTTATAGCTCAATGGACGCGTGTGTGAGATGTTGATGCGTGCTCTGATACCAACTATCACGACACAAACCTGCCTCTAAAAGTTTGGACATGACCAGCCTGTGTTTAAGTCTCAAAACAAAATAGTCAATAAATATTTATACAAAATCGGGGCCCAAAATGGAAGCAATTACAATGACAAAGAGAAAACTTCCATTGAGCGGTGTCTAGATGCCAAGATCTGAGTACACATATCATATACATCCAATATATATATTGTTCATAAAACAACAAACCACGACATGCCATACGAAATAAAAGGGCAATGATCCATAATTTACATATTAGTATATGTATGTATATCCATAACACAAAAAGGAATATCCAAAAGAAACCCCAAAATAGAACAAAAGGGTTTAACTTGGGAGGTTTGACAAACTAGACTATCAAAAGACTCCTGGAACTGCCTTAGGGCTGACCTCTAGGATGATCACCTACAAAACATATATGAATACGAAATGAGTCAAGTTTAGTGAATAATAATAATGTACTAAAGCATGTAAACGAGCGTGTGCCTTGCACAATGTAAAGCGTGTACGTAACTCATGTATGTCCTTTTTTACTAACAGAACGGCCCCAGGCCCAATAATAACACCATAAATAAATCCCATCTCATATCTACATTCTATATTCCATTTCTTTTAACTAAATCATTCAAATAACATAATGTCAGAAAACCATGCATTAATGTATCAAAAGAAACATAAGTGTTTTACACTACTATTACTCACAGTGATCCGATCGTGCAGTGGTCCCTTCTGGTGAGCGATCTACACATCCCACACAAAAACTGATAAGTAATGCATCTCTTTTCTTAGTTTCTTACCTTTTATCTTTATTTCTTGTTGTTCACTTCCTTTTTATTTTTTTATAGGTGTTTCGGAGGCATAAAATATACAGATTAGTGGGTTTATTCAAAAGGGGCATCAAAATATAGTAGAAATTTTCTCCCATCCTGCACGTGCAGAGGTTCCTTACCACACGTGTGGAGGGTGTGCCGCACGTGCTTTTATTTCAGAAAGCAAACTTCGGTCTCCCCTGTTTTCCACACGTGCGACTGTGAGCCCCTCATGTGCGACTGTGTTCTCGCACGTGTGGTTTTAGCTCTATTTTGAGCAATCCAAAAGTCATCAAAAATCCAACTTTTCAAAGACATCTTAAGGCTCAATTACAAACAAAATTCCTTTCAATAACACAACATAGGAACATAATAAACATGATTCTCAAACTTAAATAGATTATAACTCCTTTTTAGTGAAACAAGTATAATTCAAATAATCATATTTCTTCCAATCCTTCATCTTCTCATGGTTAAGCAAATAGATACAAAAACATATATATATATATATATAGGAGTTCAAACATGCAAGGATTAAAGATTAGAAGATAAGTCCTTTAAAGCTAATTCAAGACACCCTTAAGATACAAGAATCAATTCTCAATTAGATCAAAAAATGAATCTTGATAATTTTGAGAGATACTTTCCCAAATAAGTGATTATTTCCATAACCCTAAGCTAGATGAGTGGAAAACTTCATTTCACAACTTGATGCTAAACAATTAGAGTGAGATTTAGAGTATTTTAGTTGATTTGCACATACCTTACACCCTACTCTTTGAATCTCCTACTAATCTCCTCAATCTTCAAGCCTTGGTTGATCTTCTATCTTTCTCTCTCTTTCTCTTCTTTCTTTTCTCTAGAGTTGTCCTAGGGGATATCTTTTTATTTTTATTTTTATTTTTATTTTATGTCTTGGGTGACTAAGTCTCATAAGGCTCATATATGTTATTAAGCCTAAATAATTCCAATTAATTCGTTACGAATCAAATTTTTCCGCACGTGCTTTTATTTCAGAAAGCAAACTTCGGTCTCCCCTGTTTTCCACACGTGCGACTGTGAGCCCCTCATGTGCGACTGTGTTCTCGCACGTGTGGTTTTAGCTCTATTTTGAGCAATCCAAAAGTCATCAAAAATCCAACTTTTCAAAGACATCTTAAGGCTCAATTACAA